ACATCTCCATCATGGATGTGCACGAGCTCCATGCCCAGAAATAGCGAAGATCACCTAAATCCTTGATTTTGAATTCAGTGTCGAGGAAGCATTTGACACGACTGATGAAGGAGAGATCATTTTCAGTTAATATAACATCATCGACATAGATGAGAGCAGCAACGAAAGTGCTCCCCCGATGAAAAATAAACAAAGAGTGATCTTTAGGGATGACCAAAAACCTAGGTGACAGAGTGCAGTAGTGAACTTGTAGTACCGGTTGCGAGAAGCCTGACGAAGACCATTGAGGGACTTGCGAAGACGACAAACTTGAATGCCACCTGGCCCTTCAAACTAGGGGGAAGCTTCATATACACTTCCTCCTCAAGATAACCATGTTGAAATGCGTTATTGAGATCAAGTTGATGTAGATGCCAACCGCGATTGACGACCACAGCAAGAAGACATCGAACGGTTACCATCTTTGCGACTTGAGAAAAAGTATCATGGAAGTCAATTCCTTCGGTCTAGGTGTAGCCTTTTGCAACTAGGCGAGCTTTGTATCGCTGCAAAGTTCCATCCGGGTGATGCTTGATTTTGAACACCCATTTAGCTGCGATGGAACGCTTTCCATGGGGGTAAATTGATGAGTTCTCATGTTCCATTTTGTTGGAGGGCACGTATCTCTTGTAGCATTGCCTCACGCCAGGGCAGATCGGCCAAGGCTTCTCGATAGTTCCGCGGGAGATCGTGGCTGGTAACTGCAGCAAGAAAAGAACGGTAAGTGGGACGAAAATACCCATATGAAACGAAAGCTGAGAGAGGGTAAGTGACATCATGAGAGGTACTGAGGCATGCATGGCAAGGATGAAAACCGGCAGTTTCGAGAGCGGGTAAGGGGAATAGGGGTCGTGTAGAGAGAGGTGTGGGAAAGAGGGAGAGGATATGTGACAATGAGAGAAGAGAGGTGGATATGAGAGTTTTTACATTAGAGTTTGTGATAAGAATTGGCTTAACTATTCTCCAATTTATTCGGATTTTATGAATTATTATTTGGGTAGCTATCATAAATGGTCACAAAACTATTCACTTTGTACAAAACGGTCACAAATCTTTAATTTTGCACATTTCAGTAACATATGTTTCAACTAATAACAAAAAGGTAATTCCGTCAATTTCCATCCAAAATTCTGTTAGTTTGGTCCAGTCAACTGTCCAGTCAGCATCCACATCATCAAAATAATTATTAAAAAATAAAATAAAACCAATTAAACCCTAACCCACCCAATCCAATCCAACCCAACTCATTCCTTCTATCTCCTTCCCTCTTCGTCACCATCTCTGCACCGCCTTCTCAGCTTCCACTCAAATTTATCAACAGAATAAAATAAATCAAGTCACCCGATCCCGTACGTCTGCACACGATTTCCCCCAATTTGAGCCCCCTCTTCCGTATGGACTCCAAAACGGCGTGTGGCCGACGGCGAGCGCGCTGCCTGCGAGTTGTTCCTTGGTAGTGAAAATCGGGTAGCCGGTGCCAGTGTAGACTTGGTCGGAGATTATGTTGTTGGGATCGGTAAGGTCGACGGTGATTTCATGGGTGGTTGAGTGGTTGACTTGGGCGATGATGAAGGCTCGTCGCGGCGAAGGACCGGCGGAGTGGTGGTGTAGATAGGAGAGGACGGCGAATTTTGGTGGGTCCTTGAGGCCGATGGAGGTGTGGTTGGAGTAGTGTGCACGGACGGCGGTTTGGACGGCGGTGAACTCGGCCGGCATTACTGGGTCAAGTGGGTGAGATGAAAGGGAAATGGAGATGGTGGAGAGGAAGAAGAAAAGGAAGGTAGGGAGTTTTGACATGATTAGTGGAAGCTGAGAAGACGGTGCAGAGATGGTGGCGGAGAGGGAAGGAGATAGAAGGAATGGATTGGGTTGGTTAGGGTTTAATTGGTTTTATTTAATTTTTAATAATTATTTTGATGATGTGGATGCTGACTGAACAGCTGACTGGACCACACTAACAGAATTTTGGATGGAGATGGACGGAATTACATTTTTGTTATTAGTTGAAACATATGTTACTGAAACGTGCAAAATTAAAGGTTTGTGACCGTTTTGTATAAAGTGAATAGTTTTGTGACCATTTATGATAACTACCCATTATTATTTTAATCTAAGAGTTATCATAGTAGTCAACCGGGGCTTAACCCCTAATCTCATTCGAATAAAAATAATAGTTTCCCTTTTCTTCAATTGATTTTGGTGTAGTGTATATATATTAACAAACACAATAACGAAATGATAGGAGGATGGAAGTCTGGCACGGATTTTAATTGGAATTTTAAAGTAATTTTTAAATTATTAATAATCATTGGATTAATCAAAAGGAATGAATGAAAAAAATTTAGAAAGACATACATTATATTGTTTCTTTTTAATTAATTAATATTCAAAACCTTAAAAAAAACGAGAAACCACACTTGCCTATAATCTTAAACCATCGATAACACCTAAATAGTAAATAGGTGTTATTAGTATTCTTTATCTAGGTGTTTCCATGTCTTTATTGAGGTTAATTGAGATTCAAACATACATTTTAATTTTAGCCTAGGATTGCTTGATATTGTATATTGAAATGTTTAGGTATCAATGTGTTGGTTTCGATAAAATTAAAGGGAGTTTAGAGCAACAAGTGTAGGAAGATGAAGATAAGCTCACAAACTACAGCAGAGGATCATGGTTTATGATGGATTTGTTGTATTATAGATTTGGAAGAGTACATTGTTTGCTTAGTTAATTTTTATCATGGATTTATGATGAATTTGTCTCACAATTTTGCCTTCCATTATCAAATCCCGAATGAAATGTGGGATTTACAAATCCGTGGAGTCCACGGATTCGGATCTAAAAAAATGGTTCAAATCCGTTGACCCCACGGATTTGTGTCCCTTAGCAAACAATGAATTTGTGCCAAGTCCTTGATGCTTGGAATTTGGGTGCCAAATCCATCACCCAAATCCCACAAGCAAACGATACCTGAAATTCAGACAAAAGGGATCGAAAAGGAAGCAAAATGGTGAAAAGTGCATGGATCATGGTTTGGTGGTAATTATCATGGATAGCATACCGTGAACATTACAAGGAGGTCGTGAAGCTCGCAGATTTTCAGGAGCTTTCGTCTGTCTCGCAGGCAATCCAAGGATCACGGTCTTAAACCATGAAGACAACATGGAACCATGAAGTGTGTTAATGAAACACACGGGTGTGATGTTCAACCGTGAAACATGCACAGTCGAGCTATATAAGGAGAGTTTCATGTTCCTTACCCTGGAAAGAGAAGCTAACGAGCAAGGGAGAATTGAAGGTGGATTTGACCTTCCCAAGCCAAAAGAAGGCTAAATTTCAAGGAAATTTTCCAACTATACCACCAAAAAAAATTCAAAAATATCACTCAGTTTCGGAAAATTCCAAAAATACCACCATTTTCCAAAAACCGCCACCACCCCGCGTTTTTTGTGAAAACTGCCACCTCACCCAGCGGTTTCCATTCGCTCCGAGAAACCGCGGGGGGTAGAACAATCGTAACTTTGCGCTCGGGTATCCGATCGTAACGAAAAAAAATTAATTCCGCATAACTTTGCGCTTGGAAATTTATTTTGATTCCTCTACTATCGATGGTATTTTTGAAATTTTTTTGTGGTATCCTAGAAAATTCCAAATTTCATTTCCAATGATCAATCCAAGAAACTAATTAAAAAGAGTAAGAATCAAGGTCCATTGGGTTTTTCCTATTTTCTAGTTGTTGTTCTTCCTCTAGTTATGGAGTAGTTTCACTTTTTACTTGGATGATGTGAACCCTAGTTTAGGATGTTTTAGATTGATGTTTGTGAACTTTATGTGATGATGGACATGTTTAATTATAAATTGGTTGAGTATTTGTCATGTAAATTGAGTGTTCTTGATCAATTCTTTCAATATTTTGGCAAATTGACATGAGAGAAAGAATATCTTCTTATGGAAATTTGGGTCACTATTCAATCATCATAGAGAGCCATGATTTAAGGCGATTGGTGTATTTATGCCGTTCCGGATCAATGCCCGAGGGAGTGAATTTGGTTGCCCTAGTCGTCTATTGCGGTAGTGTGGTACGTCCCTCCAATTAGATCAATTAGGCGGGTTAGGATGCACTCAAATAAGGGGCCTAACTATATTAGATCTCCTAACGGTATATAAAACCTACCAATCGAACTAGAGTACCACAATCTCATCTCAACACGGGACGAGTGGGATAATCATCCGAGTTAAGCCTTCCCATCTTGAATTCATCATCGTTTAAGTTGTTTGTTTGCTTAATTTGATAATTTTTAAACAACATTCCGTTAGCTAGATAATTTGTTTTCATTTTACTGAATTAAGGATAGACGAACCGCTCGGATTGATAATTAAAAATATATTTACCCTATATTACACCCATCTCAAAATTACACTTAACCTGCAGTGGAAGTGTGTAATAGGTGGCGAGTAACTCTTCCTTTCTAAAGGTATTGAAATTTAAGTGCCACCAATTGGCTGCTGCCGGCAACATCATTTGAGAGTGAATGTATATATGTGTCCATCGGCCACCAAGAATAAGGTGCCTGCCCGATTGGTGTATCTCAATAGTCAACCTCTCTCTCCTCTCAATTGTCTCTATAAAACTCCTTTGCACAAAACTAAACAGAATCTTGTATGAGAGACATGATTATACGTGGGGAGCAACAACTCAAAACTAACACATTATTTGTGTTATAATTATGTGAACCCCTCCTTTCTTACACCCTCCCTCCCCATATCTTTCAACAGCTCTCGATTTTTTGTCTCTATTGCTCCTTCCATTTCCATTCATCATCATCATCATCATCATCTTATATTTGGGTAACAAGCTCAGCCATCAGCACAATGACTGCCTGCTGCTTCTCCAATTTGCCATTCTGAAGGGGGGGAAAAGGAAAAAGACTTTTGATCAAAAGTTGGGAAAAAGAAAAATGATGATGTATGATAGCTTGCTGGCGAGAAGCTTCACCAAACACGAGCAGAAGAAGTTGGGAAGAGGGGCACTGATCATTTGCTTCCTCATTTTCCTAAGCTTCTGCACCATTTTCAAGCCTCAGAAATGGGGTCCCCTGCCTTCCCCTTGTACGTAGTAACTCAAGTCAATCCCTTTGTTTTTTTTTTTTTTTTTGGTCTCAACTTCATTTATGTGTCTTTCTTCTCCTTCTGATGACAACCTTTCTTCTTTTTGTAGTGGATCTAAGGTGGTCTCCTGGAGTGTTTCAGAAGTTGTACATGGTCAATGATACAGCCAGCTCCCTGCTCCATATGGACAAGAAGAGGAGTAAGTATGGCTGCCCTCAAGCTAATACTCTGTTCAAGACTTTCCATGTACATAACCAACTCAAATCGTCCATGGATGATAACTTCTACAGACGTGGAAATCACCCCCAACAACATTCCTGCCAAGGAGAATCATACAAGCGGCTCAATGCAGCACACACCAAATCGTGAGTAATTCTGCTCAACAAAAAAAAGGCAAAACGATGTTTGACTCTGCATGTAACATGATTTTTTGTGAAGGCGGAAAAGGGTTAAAATTCATCTATCTATCAATTTGACACAATTGTCTCGTTTTGAGACAATTGTACCAAATTGCCTCGTTTGCCAGCAAAAAATTTGGATGGATCAATCTGCCTGAGGTATTTTGAATTGATCCGTTTTGAGTCAATTTCAATTACCTGGGGTGGGGCAGGTAATTCGAATTGGCTCGTTTTAATTGCTTCGTTTTAATTGATCAAATTGACTCATTTCTAGATTGATCCATCCAAAATGACCCCTAAAACAACACTGTGTGATGTTATTCAATCTATCCTTTCCGGGATTCCCAGTTATTGTTTGATGTTTGATCACAGTTTGTTCCATGAATATGCAGCAGCTTCTGTTAAACAGAGCACAAGGACGACGACGACGACGAATGACGCAAGTACAACGAACCATAGAGAAATGCACACCACCAACAATAATGGTACGTCATTTGTCAACACCAAACCATTTCATTTTCCCTGCTAAGACAGCACCAAATTGAAATAACAGCTAGCTGGAGTCGGGTTAATAATTCCCCCCGACGACTCTCGGTATATAATACTATTTTCTAGTAAAAATGAGGGAAGTTCATGGCAGCAGGCTGACACCAAGGGAATTCATGTTCTTTGTTCATTAATTAATTGATTTCAAGTTTCTTATTCAATTTGGTAGCAGAGGGAGATGGAGGGTAAGTAGTGAATCTCTTGTGACTAACTACCTAATCGGAGATTACTTTATGGCCTGCTCTTCCCCACTAACTACCTTCATTATTCGACTCGCCTATATAATTAACGTTGTTTGACCTCTGCGAACATTATGACAGAGCATGTCTCTCTGTTTTTTCATTTTTAAAAAAAATCCTCAACAGATGCTGGGCTGGAAAAACAGAGCAAAAAACAGAGCCCAATCCCTGTTACGTGCAGTAAGGGTGAAAGATCGGATTTCTGCGACTTGAACGGTGACGTCAGGGTTGATCCCGGTTCAGCAACGGTTTACTATGTCGGCGCGGGAGACCAAAACAGGACTGCTTCGACAATGTCGATAAAGCCCTACGGGAGAAAGGGCGACGAGGTCGCCATGGGTTTGGTGAGAGAATGGTCGCTGAAAATGGTGGCTCGAGACGACAGGGACTTGCCGGCTTGTTCTCAGATTCACGAATCTCCGGGGGTTGTTTTCTCTCTCGGAGGGTTCGCCGGCAACCATTTCCACGCCTTCACCGATGTTCTCGTCCCGCTGTTCGCCACCGCAAGGCGGTTCGACGGAGAAGTGGAGCTGCTCATAACCGACCATCAACCGTGGTTGGTCGCCAAGTTCGGAACTATACTCCGGGCACTGTCTAGGTACGCTTCGTTTTTTCTCTTTCCACTCTGTTATTTGAGAAGATGCGAGTAATTAGTATAGTCGGGGTGGGCAAATGGTTGGGTAAACCCGAACCGAAATCGAAATAATGCTATTCGGTTCGGAATTCGGAATGAAAAATGAATATTTCGGAAATCAGGGTTCTTTCAACCGGATCGGATTTCTGAATTTCCGACTAAAAAATCGAAATACTATAATTGCAACCTCCAAATGGTGGATTTTTATGTTTGTAGTTGTTTTTAGACTTAAATATTTGAAATTTTTTATGACCTATGTGTTGAAAAGTTTGATTTTATCATTGATGATGCATAGAATTGCATATTTATTGTTTGTATTAGGGGTGAAAAATAATTTAAAACTAAGAAGATACAAGTAGCCTCACAAATTCGGTTTTGTGTGAAAAACCGAACCGAAACGAATTATAATTCGGTTTGAGGTTTGGGAGAATTCAGGGACCCGGTATTCATAATTTCGATTCGGTCGAAACTGAACCGACCGAATGCCCACCCCTAGTATAAACTGTCACGAACCTTTGCACTTAGTACAAAACAGTTACGACCCTTTAATTTATAACCATTCGGTAGCAAAACTTTTTATTTAGAACAAAACGATTACAAATTAAACAGAGTGACCATTTCATACCAGTTCAAAGTTTTGAAATCATGTGGTTACAAATTAGACTTTTGATCATCGAAAAATTAGTATTACAACCCTCTTATACTTTGATTGAAAAAAGACTATTTCATCATTTGCGAAATAAGGAGTGTAATTATTTATAGGTGATGATGTCATTGATTTACGGAATTGATAGGATTATGTGAAAAAGATTAATTGGTTAGTTGATGAAACTAAAGGAAACAATTAATTATGGGTGCATTATACAAATATAATTGTCACTTGCAGCGTAATATCTAAATCTAGATGGAGAGTATATGCTTCTTCTTTTTTCATCATTGATGTCCTCATTCAAATTCGTAGCAAGTTTAATGTCTTCATCCATATTTCAGAAAAAATCAAACTTTCTAGTTGTATCTAAATACGGTAAAATTGATATATTTTCACTCAATCCAGGTACAATTCGATGGATCTGGACAAGGAACAACAAAGCAAGAAAACTCATTGTTTCTCAAGGCTAATACTAGGCCTAAAGGGGAGGCACAAAAAAGAACTCAACATCAACCCATCAGAATCCGAATACACGATGGTAGACTTTAAACAATTCCTAAGGAATGCCTATTCGTTAGAGAAGGCGACCGCAATCAATCTACAATTCAAAGACAAGAAATCGAGGCCACAACTTCTTATCATATCGCGTAAGAGAACTCGAGCATTCACAAATGTCAATGATGTTGCGAGGATGGCAAGAACACTCGGGTACCAAGTAACAGTTGCAGAGCCGGATAGAAACATCTCAAAGTCGGCAGAGATTATGAACTCTTGTGATGTGGTGATGGGAGTCCACGGAGCAGGGTTGACCAATATGGTTTTTGTTCCGGATAATGCAATTTTGGTTCAGGTTGTTCCGCTGGGAGCGGACTGGATTTCGAAAACTTATTTTCGGGAGCCGTCGGAGAACATGAAAGTGAGGTATTTGGAGTATAAAATCAAAAGAGAAGAGAGCAGTTTGACAGAACACTATCCACCTGACGACGTCGTTTTCACCAAGCCGTGGTCCTTTGCAAAAGAAAATTGGGATCTATTCAAATCTATTTACTTAGACAATCAAAATGTAAAGCTTGATGTGAAAAGGTTTAGACCCACGTTGTTGAAAGCTTTAGAGCTTTTGCATCAGTAGCCTATTTTATGTTGTTTCTTATTCCCCTGGAAGGTTGATGTTTGTTTAATCCAGATCCTTTTTCTTTGTAGAAATTAACCTAGTTCCTTGTAGGGTCTTTATACAAAAGGCCAAAAGGATTTACGAAGTATCCACTACAAGCTCACAATTAGTTATTTTTATAAGGAATTAGAAGGGAATGAACATGTCACTCATTCATCGACTTCAAATTTTGGGAATAAAGTTTTACTTTGTATAATTGATTATCCCTTAATCTATGATTAATCTCAAACAAAATGGAAGAACAATAATGCCATTGAAGAAGATGATGAAGTGAAGCTTATGTTTTTTTTTTTGTGCCAATGGATGAGTCAATTAAGAGGAAAAGAAGATTTAGATACAAGTCTTAACTCTTAAGTAGACACACTGCAACCAAGAAATGAAGTTGAACCCCTCGAAAAATCAGGATGACAAAGATAGCACATGACAGGCTACCAAATGAGTCTCCTTATGGTACCTTTGACGGTGTAGCTTGCTTTAAATTGTTGAATTTAATGCTTAATCGTTCGCTGCTTCGATCAAGTTTTAAATTTTTAAAGTCTAAGTGCACACATTAGTCAATCCTAACAAAGCCAAATATAACCAGGCTAGGGTTATAGTGGCTAGTTCGTTGAGAAATGTTGCTGGTCACACAGAGTACAGCCTTGTTTTCCTATAGCTGGGCAGTTGGTTCCAGGGAGGATTCCGGAGAAACCAACCTGTGGATCATTCTCAAACTTTGAGGACTTATTTAAAACTCATTTTTGGTTGATTTGACCGTGGGGATTGGTATTATGATACCTGGTTTGTCGGAAGAGAGGGTGTGAAATTGGTTGAAACTCCTTCAACTGAAAACGTACAAAAATGGATCAGAAACGTGTTTTTGGCCACTTTTTTATACATTTTTATATAGAAACTGAAGCGTTTTTCCTACTCGGAAACCGAAAAATGTGTGTTTTAGCATTTTAAGATGCATTTTTATTACATTGGTTGGGATGTTGATGCCACCCCATATTGTAGGTGTTGCTATATGAATTATGACCTCTCCTAGCATCGGCAATGAAGTCTACTTGCTCTTTGGGCGCATTCAGGTCCAACATCACTTGGTATTCATCCATAGCATGATCCGGACTTTAGCACCACTTATAAAGCTGCACTTAAGCTTTAGGTTGGCTAATTGAAGCATTCTCATTGGTCTTAACGGTCTTGATCAATTCATTAATCTTCACTTCAAGTGAAATTTGGGATTCCACCACATGAGTGTTTTTTCCCTTGAATTCCGACCTCTTCTTATGATACCTCAATCATAGTCGCATGTCACTATCTCCTCAAATATTTTTGTTATTTGAGGTGGCGTCTTGTTAAGCATGTCGCCTTGACAGAAGGAGTCTATAAGCATATGATTTTCTTTGAGTAACTTGTTGTAGAAGGTCCCAACATTAAAATGGTCTTCAAAACCATGGTTGAGGAATTGGAGGAATAGCTTCGTGCACCTTTTCCAAGCATTTTGAGTGTCTCATCATCTTCTTGAGCAAAGAACCTATTGATGTGGTCTCTTAAAGCCTCATGGTTGAGCCCGAAGAACTGGATGTTGTTCGTGATCACGAAGATGACGTTTGTCTTGATCTTGAAGTCTTTAGTGGCAAAGGGAGGATGTCGGATTGCTTGGTTAGATGTCTGCGAGCTTGGAGTGAAGTAGTACCCCCATTGTTCTCACTGGTTCCTCCTCATTTTTCCCTTGGTTGTTCACATAATTGTGAGCTTGATTCTCCCCAGCCCTAGTTTCAACTTCAATCTCAACTTCTCCTTTTTCTTGCTCTGGAGGTTACAGGTTGTCAACCTCTCTCAAGCTTCTCTTAGTTCCCGCGCCCTTGCGAGATGCCACAAGGTCTGGTTGATGTTGTGTTTGATCGGGTACAGGTCTTCCATGTTGCTTCAGGTCCTACACATGTGACAAAGCTCAACAAAGAAAATACAAAACAAAAATAGAGTAACCAATAGTCAAATTTTCCTAATAACTTGTCGTGTCCTTGACAACGGCGCAAAAAACTTTGCTCGTTCCCAATGTGACTACTATCCCAACCGTGGCCAAGTGAAACCACAATCGGGTGTAATATAGTGGAAGTGAAGTTTAATTATCAACCTGGGCGTCAAATGTACTATTGTTTGGTTAGATGTCTGCGAGCTTGGAGTGAAGTAGTACCCCCATTGTTCTCACTGGTTCCTCCTCATTTTTCCCTTGGTTGTTCACATAATTGTGAACTTGATTCTCCCCAGCCCTAGTTTCAACTTCAATCTCAACTTCTCCTTTTTCTTGCTCTGGAGGTTACAGGTTGTCAACCTCTCTCAAGCTTCTCTTAGTTCCCGCGCCCTTGCGAGATGCCGCAAGGTCTGGTTGATGTTGTGTAAATCGGGTACAGGTCTTCCACGTTGCTTCAGGTCCTACACATGTGACAGAGCTCAACAAAGAAAACACAAAACAAAAATAGAGTAACCAATAGTCAAATTTTCCTAATAACTTGTCGTGTCCTTGACAATGGCGCAAAAAACTTTGCTCGTTCCCAATGTGACTACTATCCCAACCGTGGCCAAGTGAAACCACAATCGGGTGTAATATAGTGGAAGTGAAGTTTAATTATCAACCTGGGCGTCAAATGTACTATTTCTTCACGGACTGCCTTGTTTTCTGGTGAATCAAAGGTTTGAATTAACTAATTACTATGCAAATAAAGCAAAGGAAAGTTTGGTAGAAACTGTAGTGAGAAAGTTACTCGGATGTTGTATCTCTCTAGTTCCAAAATAGACAGACGAATGATTATCCAAGTTTTTCAACTCATGATTACACCATGTAGAATCCTATTCCTGATTGATCTCCCTTTTTAGTTACTTAACCTCACCTAGAGCAGACTATCCAGGGGGAGAGTTTCCACATCCGACGAAATAGAACGTCTAGGGCGTGCCAAATAGATTCCCTCTATTCGATTGCAATCCAATACGACATTGTAGCCCGATTTCATGCTCGTTCCATCGACCCACAATGAAGATTGAGGTGAGTGCTCTAATCAACCTAATTGGATATTATCTATCTTATGTTAGTAGCCATAATTGAGATTTTATCAATACCTAACATAATTCATGAAATACCTCAAACTTATATATAATCAAGAGTCAATCAAACAAATAAATCCACCATTCATCTAATCTAACATATACATCTGGAATTCAACAACACTCAATTGATAGAAAGTCTAGCTCATGATGGGAATGAGAGAAATACACCAAACAAGAGAAGAAAACATCCTAAAAGGTTATGCCCTGTTTAGTATCCATTCCCATTCCAGTTTTCTGCTTCCGTTTCCATAAAAATAAAAATGAAAAGAAAAAATGTGTTCACTTTTCATTCCTTTTTCCATCCGTTTCCATTTGAGGAACCAATTGGCACCAAAAAATGGTAATTCCAGGAAACACAATATTATGGTTTCCGGAAAGAGGGACGCGGATTCCTCCCCCATTCTCATTTAATGAGGTCCCCCCTTCGAATCCCTCCGCCCCCAAATTTTTACTTTCCTAATTTTATCTACTACTATCCCTCCACCAAGAACAGTCACCAACCCCGTCCTTCTCTTTCTCAATCCCATGCTGCTGATGTACTTCTCCTATCAACCCTTCTCTGGCTCCGCATCAAAATCCTTCTCGGCCTCAATTCTTATTCACCAGCATGGCTCAGCTTCTTCAGCTCCTCCTCTCGCATCCAAAACCCAATTTCCTTCTTTGTAATTCAATTCTTATTTCATGTCCTCTCGAATATTGCAGAAATGTGCACCATCTTTTCGGGCACATTGTTTCTATTTGGAACTTTGAATTGATTAAAGTAAATTACTATATAGATGCATGAGGGCGTTGGCCGTTGGGAGCATTAATAAGCATGGATGTGAGGAGTTTGGAATATACTCCGCATGATATTATAGGATGTGGAGGGTGATTTGTTTGTGTATGAGTGATTTGGATGTTATTATCATGATCCTTGTGGTTACTTAATGTGAATGCGGTATTATGTGACCATTTTAAGTATCTGGATATTTTGGATTAAGTTGGTTTAAGAAGGCAAGTTATGGAATCATCTCACAACAATTGTATCTAAACAGGTTTTCGTTTTCAGGTTTCAGTTTCAAAAGTCTTTATAATTCTCAGCTAAACAAATTTTCTTTAGCTTTTGTTTTCTAGAAAACAACAATTTCCTTTTCTTCAGATTCCATTTTCTGTTGTCTAGAAAACAAAAAACAAAATGATTACTAAACGGGGCATTAGGTTCTTATTCTTGCACTTCAATATTCAACCCTTTGTGATGGTTTTGAACTCCAATTCTTACACTAGGATCTCCTTCATCACTTTCACTCTTTACCCATCATATGCATTCTTACTAGGGATCTCCTTCATCACTTTCACTCTTTACCCATCAGATGCATTCTTACTGGAACTAGGTCTACTTCTTTTTCCTCCGAGTAGTGATCGTAGCAGTATTATATTGTATCCCCCATGTTCTCTATTTTTCTAATTGGAACTAGGTCTACTTCTATTTCCTCAATCTGACATTAACATGGCTAATTGGGTGGCTATCTATTAGAACAAATATATAAATTGGATTCATGTTCTGACCTTATTTATGTTTTTGTACTTATTGATCCTAACTTTTATTAAATAAATTTCTCTTGTTAGAAAATCATTTTCTCGGGTTATTAAAAGTTAAAACTAAAGGGATGAATATTCAAATCATATTACATACAAAGCATCTTTAATTCAATTATAAAAATTCATGAGTTAAATTTTAAGGAATGATTAGAATATTTGTATAGGTGGTGATCAAGTACCACAGTCATTCCCTGTAAGAGTATTTTTTTTTTTTTTGTCAAAAGATAATCGATATATTGATCAGAAAACAAAGGTAGTTACAACCTGGCATTCAGCCAGGCCAGCAGATTAATACAACGACTTGTAGTCG